CCTGCACTCACCATGGAGTGGTCGTAATCAAGTTTTGTGTTCCTGTATGGACGGCAGTCTTGAACTGTAGCTATCCCTCAGGGGCTGACAGGTACGTGATCCAACTGAGTCCATGGTTGATTTGCAGTTGGTCGCCGCCAGGTTACGCGATGTGAACATTTCTGCTGGAAGTTCGTACTGGCCGGAAACATTTCATGATCAGCACACAAATGAAGAAGTCGATCTGCGTTGTCCGTGGGGCGAGAATCGACTCCGAATCGACCGCCCAAATGTGATTCCAAGGAGCCCAAACGACCGACTTGTGCATTCATATCGCCCGCAGGTATCCCACTATCAGTGCTTCTTGCTTGACGAATGAGCTGGGATAACTCTCCATAAAAAGTATCCTTCTCGGCGTCAGAACTGCAGTCCGTTGGGACATAATGTGACCATACAAACAGGCACCGTTTTTCATTTCGAGAGGCATTAAACTGTAGAAACGGACGTAGCAAATACAATTGTTGCAACCCAGCAAACCCTTTTAGCTCTGGGGCTGAGTGCTACTACCGCACTATGTATTCCATGAGTCGTCGCTTATGGATCATCGGACATGGAGGGAGAAATGTGAAAGAGCTGACTTAGTCTTTGGTGCATTGAAATGGATAACCACGCCTGGTTCTTGTGTGCGTGTTTCAGCAACACAGCGTATATAAGTCTTAAAAGAGTATAAGGTTTTAGCTAGTATTGCTTGTGTGCCAATTTGACACGGCGCAGACGTTAAAAGCTCCCATATAGAAAGGATCTCGTGGATTTGGCAGCGGGGAACATAAGTTCCGTCGGTTAGATAACTGACGGTCAAGTGACCCAGAGACGTTTGCTTGTGGTGTGAAGGGGTTAGGGGGGAACAGCGGTGGACACAGTACTTCTTGGTTTCCCAGCCGAGGAAGAGAGTTTGGTTGGGGCATCCCATCTTGAGCCTTAGCCTCAAGTCTGACCCGGGAGGCAGCGAATGTTAGGGTCTTCTTGGAGGACCCTTCTCGGAGCTAATGGCTCAATAGTCTGACCCACTTGATTTTAGGGGACCAGCCTAGCTCGAGGACGCAGGGAGGAAGGCAACACTGTCTCGCTCCTAATGTAATTGCTCACAGCAACTGTCTTTTGGGCAGCTCTGGACTCTTTGGTTTTAGGAGTATTTTGACCGTATTGAATAATGCGCTTACGGTCACGGTCAACCACTGGGTGGTCATTGTGCGATTTTCACGGCATACCTTTCCTAACCCATCCTTCCTCGAGGGAAGGCAGCATCGCTGCTTCTATAAATATGGACATGCTTTGGGGGGAATTAGTTCTACTTCTGGTAACCAGCGGTGCAGTTTATGATTTTATTGATTTCAGAATGAATAAGCGAAAGTAACTGGTAGCAGTCAACGTCAAGTTTCATAAAAAGTAAAATAAATTCAACCTTTTCATGGACTCTTTGTTTTAGAAGTATTTTGACCGTATTGAATAATGCGCTTACGGTCACGGTCAACCACTGGGTGGTCATTGTGCGATTTTCACGGCATACCTTTCCTAACCCATCCTTCCTCGAGGGAAGGCAGCATCGCTGCTTCTATAAATATGGACATGCTCTTCCCCTGGGGAACACCTGATCACCTTCACACTCCCGTCGCAGAGGACAGTGTGATTTTATCCCGAGATCGCCTCGTATCATGATTACCCGTAGCATCATTTCTCACTGCTCTTGCTCTGACTGCCTCTGTTTGGCCTTGCTGGAATGATTGCACCCTGTCGAATCCAGTTCCAGTCAATGTATCCCGTGGGGTTGTTGTAGGTCAAGGTGGCAGCTACCGTACTTGCGTCCTGGATTTTTGTTTCTTACAGACAACATACCCATCTTCATCAGTGCAAGCAAGCAGTGCTTCTGCCTCTTGTCCTGCTTTCATCGATGTGTCAACGTTAAGGGCACCTGAGTAGACCGACTTTCGGGGTTTGAAAATCAAGTTCGGTATTTAGGGTTATTGCTGAAGAAGGACTCACAGAAGATGTAGCAAGCGAATACAGCGATCGTTCGAGATTCTGAAACCTGTAAACGGAGAGTATTCAGTTTGGATTGGAGGAGGAAAGAAGAGGGAATACTTGAAAGCCTAAGATGGGGGGCATCAGTGGTATCATGTTCCCGCTTACCCGCCCTGCTGTATGAAGAAGCCAAGGCAACCAGGTTGATGAGACCACGCGACGGGAGGTCATAACTGTATGCTGGCTGGGGTACTGTCGGGGCACCTAATCCTAGATGAGGTTTAAGGTCCTTGACACAAGCCTTTGGCTCAAAAGTCTGACACCAAGGCAGCAACTGCTTGCCAACATTCCACGGTAATCGACGTTTTCTGAGGAACGATCCATCGTGCCTGTCCCAACCGTCAACCTGGAGGACCAGGGGAATTTTTTCGTCATATCTCCATTCACTGACCAACCTGGTATGAGAAATCTCATGTAGAACCCCCCACCAGTATAACTATCTGCGTCATAGTTGGAGTCCACAGAAAGCTCAGCAAAGCGTCTGAAGCCCTAAATATTCTCATTTAATTCGTATGATATTGTCTAGCCGACGTAGACTTCCTTAACACTTGACGCTGATTCTTTAATATAGCATTCTAAATTCCAATTGTCCAGACTAAGGAACACGCAGATGATGGAATACATATTGACGGAGGCTTGAAAATATGGTCCCATTTATATTTAACCATTTATATTCAACCAGGTGAAGTAGAACCCTGGACGGTGAACATGGAACCACCTACGGCCTCGGAAGTTTACGACTGCATATGTTCTCTCAAGCGCCACCAAGCTCCCGGTCCGGATGACCTTCCACCCCCACTGTTCAAAGACGGCGTTGAAGTCCTCAGCGCTTGTCCGATCTGTTTGCATGCATTTGGGAAAAGGAGTCTGTCCCAGACAACTGGGGAGAATCGGTGATAGTGCCCGTTTTCAAAAAAGGGGCGCGTGGTGAGTGTGGTAACCACGGGGGGTATCGGCCTGACCCCGGTTGTAACGAGACTGCTGGCGTCAATTGTGCTTCATCGCCTTACGATGGCTCGTGAGACACTGACTCGAGAGCAGCAAGCGGAATTTCGGCCTCGTAGGGGTTGTGTTGACCAAATCTTCACACTGCGTCAGGTGCTAGACCAGCGCCATACGTATAAGCGACCCATGATTCTAGTATTCCTGGATTTCCGAGGCGCACTCGACTCGTTTGATCGGTCTGTTTTTCTTGAAACGCTTGCCCACCAAGGAATGCCCCGGAAGTTTGTAACCATAACAGGTTCTTTGTATTCTCAGTCTTCCGGACGTGTGAGAGTGTACGGAGAGCTCTCCAAAAGCTTCCGCACACAAACCGGTGTCCGTCAGGGATGCCCACTCTCTCCATTCCTTTATAACTTTGTGATCGATGAAATAATGAGACGAACGCTGGAGGGTCTCCAAAACCCTGGTGTTCAAATAGCCAGTGAAGAAAACCTTGTCGATCTGGAATATGCAGACGACATCGTTCTCATGTTCGAAGAGGAGGAGAAGGCGCAAGTATTCTTGGATGAACTGACCAAAGTCATCCCGTCCTTTGGTATGCATTTTGCACCCACAAAGTGTAAGGTCATGCTTGTGGACGTGCAGTCACTGAACACGCCCCTTACAATCCAGGGAGAGGTACTGGAAGTTGTGGAGCGTTTTACGTACCTTGGAAGTTGTATTAGTTCTGATTGCAGTGTGACAGATGAGGTGAATGCACGAATCTGCAAGGCTCGGGCCGCGTTTGCTAACTTGAGACACCTATGGCGTCAGAATGGTTTATCCCTGAATCTGAAGGGACGTGTGTATCAAGCTACAGTACGGGCTGTTTTGTTGTATGGCTGTGAGACTTGGCCTATTCGAGCAGCGGACCTGAGACGTCTTCAGGTGTTCGACAATCGTTGTCTCAGAACCATAGCTCGTGTGGGTTGGTGTCAGCGAATCCGTAACGAGGCAGTTAGAAAGCGTGTTTTCGGTTGTGTAACGGGTACTTCCATTGAAGAATGTGTCCAGCACCAGAAGCTGCGTTGGTTGGGACATGTTTTACGCATGCCGAACCATCGTTTGCCGAAGAGAGTACTGTTTTCCATGCCCAATTCGGAGTGGCGTAAACAGAGAGGTGGCCAACCCATGACCTGGCAGAGGAGTATGAAGGAGATCACGAAACGCTTGGGTGCTGTCGGTTCTACTCGCCTTCCAGGATGGGGACCGCGTGATCCTCACTGTGCCTGGTTGGAGACACTACAAGATATGGCTGGCACCCGATGTCAGTGGCGTTCTTGTTGTCAGTTTCTGTCCAGATTGCCTGAGTGAATTTCTGGAGGTGTAGGCACCTCGGAATGATTGTGTTAAGCTAGCACTAAGTCCCTCCCCCATCCACCTTTATTCTTTTCTTTACAATAAGGCTTTCAAATAAGTCTTGGTTGTACGGCAGTGAAGCATCGGTGTTGAACACTGATGTCATGCTGTCAATGATGATGATTTAACCATTCAGTGCGAATTTTTTGCATGAAACTAATGGTTTTTCGTCGGTTATTTCGTGAACTATGTATGTGATAAGTGATGGTAACGGATATATAAGAGTAAGAAAATGACTAATAAAACCACACATATGTATATATATATATGTATATAATACAACTGAATAATGAGTTGGTTGGCTGTCTGTAGTACTCAGCGCTTTTCATCATTAATCGGGTTACTCAAACTCCGCCTACTTTACGCCCTGTACGGTTGTTTTTGTGCCGATAGTGAGAAAGAACCAATTCAATTCCCACAATTAGCCAGGTTTGGTGATTCACAAGTACTTGAATAGGTTTATTTCTGATACGGTTTCGTCGAACGAGCTGTTTCCTCCCCATGCTCCCATTTTTACAGCGCTTATTCCCACACCCTGTTTTTATTCTTTAGAGTCGATCATCATCGCCACTTGCCCGTTTTGTCCACTTCCCAGCTCTATGATGAACAAGTCTTCCGAAGCAAAGCAGCTGTTGGACGAATTGACAGACGTCGTTTACAAGTCATTTGACGTGAATCAAGTGTTTGAATTTGTAATGGGTTTTATTGCACAAAAGTATAAAACAGAACTTGATGATGGTAACCTTACTATCCCCTTTAATCACTGATTCCCAGTGACTGACATTGCTCTTAAGCAACATATTATCGAACAGCGAATACCATCGGCTTTGGAAGAATGCGGGTTGATGGAGATTGTCCACGATAAGCTTGCGGACGTGGGGCTGCGTGGTCGTTTGGAAGCACTGGAAAGTGAAAAAGAGGAACTCCAAAAAGGAGTGCAGAAGATGAAGGAAAACCTGGATGCTCTTGTTGCTGATATGAAAAACTTACAATTGAAGTTTGTTTCTTTTGTCATTTTTCGATTAAACGCATGTTTTCAGTTCTTTTGGACGAGTCGTTCGGTTGTTCGATGATCGCGTGATTGATTTGGCTAAGGAAGACGAGGACTTGCAAGTAATTGAATCTCCGATTGAGTAAGGCACTTGTGCGGAGTTGTGTGCTTTCGTTTCTTTTTCATCATGTCTGGCATTGTTCGTTGGGATTTTGAGGTGCTATTGGACTGATTCGATTTATGCACCCCCTAAAGTGACTTATTATCTATACAGTACTTGTGGATCGATGTACACTCGGTTACTCACAAACAATCATTTCTTTACCAAGGTTCGATTGGTCCGGCTGAAAACGCCTTTTCTTCTATTCCAATTTATTTGACTGTTTGTACTCGAATGAATCATGACTGGCTTTTTCAGAAATCCAAATGCGCTGGTTGAACGGTTATTCCTCATGCGCCTCTATTCTTACTTACCAATATCATTGAGGATTAATCTGAAGTTTGGTTCGCAACACAAACAACTTTTTGTTGTTTGCAGAAACAATCAGGTGTCTTTGAATTGACAGTAAAAGTTTGTACGCATTAAAATGTTTGGTGTGCTGGTCCGAATTTCAGGTCAGGTTGGTGCATGTGTGAGTTGAAATTGGTTGGAAATTAACCAGTTTAATTGGGTATGGTTGCCCAACTTTGAATCTGCATATAAAAACCTAGTAATTGTCTTGACCAAAGATGACCACTCGTATCCTTCAAAGCAAACGTCGTATCTCTGAAATACACACCGATAATCTTTATTCTTTTTTTTCCAAAACCCCAGTTTTGAAACCGCTTACTGGTGCTTAACTGACTGCTTAGGTTATCGCTTTAAGATGGAACACAGTTCAACAAGGTATATTGAACATTGACCCAAGTGAAACATCTGCGGACTTTATACAGTCAAGTGAATTCCATTTGAGAATCCAGGTGCCGCTTAGGATCTCACAGGACAGTTGAGTCTGTTGGGTTAAACGTAGTTGGCATGCAGTCGGTACTAGGCGGCAGGAACGGCCGGAAGGGGACAGTAGATACTTTATTGATAATTGGTCACTCAGCAGTAGCGTAACACGACAAGCAAAAATAACGGTAGTTATGCTGCAGAGCGTCAGACCTAGACGTTCGGACAGTGTAACTGGGTAGCATTCATAGGTTAATGCCGTAGAAAGCATTCGGAAAGTTTCGGCAGTAGTTCTGAGTAAAGGAACGGACCAAAAATATCTTCTTTCGAAGCAGTGCGCCCGATGGAACTAACTTGGAATGGGCTCCTAGACTTGTTTAAAACAAAGGCAACAGACTACAGTGGCTAACTCATAGTACGGAGGTGTTAATAACCAATTAACATGGGGCACAGAAACACATACGGAGAATTTGAGGTGGCTGAAATCGTTGTAGTAACAACTGGAGAGCAATTAAACGTTATGCGTGGTCAGAAAAATGAGAAACGAGCAGTCGGCCAGCAGAAGGACGCTACACCAGATAGGCCTGAGCTATGCTACTCGTGTTTTAGATAAACGTGGAATGTCTGAGGTGCCCCGAAAGAGCAAAAGCAGTTGTGCACTGTCGAAGTCTGCACCAATCTTGCGTGTAGTGTCGTATCAAAAAATGCTCCTAAGGAAACTACTTACCAAATATTTTCGTTTCTCCTCTACCAAGTCAGTTTTTTCGCACTTTAACGTACCTCTCCAATTATTTGTCAACATGGAACAGTTTTTCAACAATATCCTCGGTTGTCCAAGCTTCTCCGACCTTTCATAAATCTTTGACATCTATTAAGTCACCTATAAGTTAAATTCACCAGCTACGCAAGTACCCTCATTGTCCTCACTTCAGCAGTCAACGGGCCGTGCTACGGATTACATGACCGTGTGTTACTGAGATTTTCGAAGCCTGACCACGTGCTTTCCAACGCGACCTTCGCTTTATTCGGTCAATCCACGTTTCGCTACATTTGATCCATATATGGATTGGCCGTTTACTGTTGATCTTGCCTTATTTCGCAACTTTGTTGTTTTTATTCCATCCATCATCCTCTTCTTGCTTTATCTTCTTTATCGCAGTGGTGCAGTGGTTTCTGCGGCTGGTTTAGCAAGCAAGGGTGGATGGCGAACTCTACAACCTTCTGAACTACTGATTGGGCTGTGAGTACTTGCACTGCAGTTGTTCCTTTTTTATCTGCACGCATGTTCTTTTAATGCCACACAAAATGGCATCACAATTGTCGCCGGGGATAAACAGACCTATCACATGCTGGAACTTCCCCTACCTGACGATCTGCGGCAAGGTCTTTACGGGTAGTGGTCGAAAGTGGCTTTCAATGTAAAGCGTCGTAGACAGACCCGAGGCTCTCTCCAATTTTTAAACACTTGATTTTGACCAATGGCAAGTTGTGACAAGTTCCATAAGCAGAAAGGAACGAATTTCTTCAAATGTATCATTTTTTAGTGATTATGACCCCACCATTCAGTTAGACTGCAACACTTACAGCCGGTACACGCTTTTCTCTCAAGATTACTGCATCTAGGGTTATAGAAACACGACAAGATTCAGAGCACTGTGACCTTATTCGGCATGAATTTATGCTATAATGAATGTACGGGAACTCGATCGATTTGGCGTAGAACTCTTTTGTTGTTAACCTTCACGTCTTTATAATACTGGGTCCGTCACTGGTTAAAAGTATTTGCATAAATTTTGCTTCTCTGGGACAGTCTCGTCCAGTTTCCCATCCCAACTAAAGAATATATCTCCCAGGCTTTCTCTATCGGTCTCCCCTCCTGAGTATATGCTTGAGTTCTTGTCTGGGAGGGGGGTTCCTTTCAGTGATAAGAAGCTATTGTGAGCGTTGGGAACTCATCAAATATTGGGTTATAGTGAATTGCAGAATTCTATTTTCCAGCACCAGTATCCTCGGTCCGTATTGCAACTGCGTGCTACATCCCAAAGTGCCCAACTACCGAGCAAGGCAAAGCATTTCCGCTGGCACTACTACTCTTGATGCCAGCATGAATTTTGGTTTATAAATCGGAGCCAATAGTAAAGCGTCTAGCCATTTAGTGTATTCCTTCAGGAACACAAGACCGCTTCCTGTATTGTTTCAAGAAATTTCTACTCAAGAGTGATTACATTGGAATACTCTCCCGCACAGGCTGTCCTAAAGGATGTGGTCTTTTCTATCGGGAATACTCAAATAGGATTATTTTGTGGTCTTAATTAGCATCCTCAGTCTTCAGTAATCCAGTCTACTTGAAATTACTGGCCAATAATGATACTTCGGATGCATCCTCCCCGTATTCCAGAATTTTGTTCGTCAGGGTTTTCTGTTTGGCACATTTGACTTTGAGGTGTTTTTACGTCCTGAAGATGTATATTATCGGCTTTGTACAGATTTCTGTACTAGAACGCAGCCAGTCTTGTTTGCCATTTATACAGCACGCAAGACACTGCACAAGAGCATGCCAAGACAAATACCAGTAATTATTCAGAAAATAGATAGTTCAAGTGCGTCCTCTGAGCCCTTGGTATCATTCAACGAGTACGAAGCAAAAGAGCTTAGATACTGCCAGGCCTGATCATTTCAGTCATAAAGTAAGGAGCGGACCGAAATCACAGAACCTCCGGCGACGAGCTGACCGAGCGACTCATTTCCTGTCATTCGCTGTTAAGATGCGGCAGAGTCACGGTGAACATTGCTAACCTCTCCAGTCAGCGTTCCCTTCCGAAAGAAACCCGTCCCTTGCCAGACGTTGTCACCGCCTGAACATTATGGTCGCCGCGTTGTGGCATGTCCGACTACAGTGACAACTCGACGAATAGAAGAGTAACGAAAGTCGATATGCAAGGTGTGTCCATTACATAAGCCTCTCTTTGTTTGGGCGTTCTGGAAGGGCTGTTATAGCGAGTATTTGATCCGAAACCGTCGGAGGTGATCGTCTCTGTCAACCGCCGTGAATAGTTTATTACCTATTCATTGACATCCGATTAAATTCCGGGTTTATGCTTTGATGGTTGCCAGGTCCTCCGCTAAGAACGATAGCTACCTAGCTAAAGCAGTCTTATGTTCATCGGTGGCCGGATTGTCCAAACGTCACACCTAATTACATAAATTGATGTGGTCTTTTTACTTAGTTCCAACTTTAATTTAGATACAAATAGCTCCTAAGATAAAGGAGGACAACTGCTTGAGTTGTCCATCACGAATAAACCGACGATGTATCCCCCAAGTGGATTTTTCATCGTGTTTTTATTTGGAGTCCCTGTTCTGTTACCCCTGGGTGCCACTTAAATAAAACAGTATTCACCACAGGACACAAATTTACATGGAATCCATTGAATAACTTTGAAAGGCGAAACTCGTATACAACGTCATTGCCTATTATTGTTGAGAACACAAAATAACGAACAATAATGCTTTCGAAATCCTGTCGCCAGGTCATCACACTCGTTTGAAAAACTCAACCATGACGCTTTGCCTTTCTAGTTCCCTCACAGCGGCCCAACCAGTTCTTTGCCGCAAAGGACGAGATACTTGGTTCCCTGGTCGTATTATATCCTGCCCTGCTCCTGCCACATCCAACGACCCGAACTCTACGAGAGCTGTTGGACCAAACAGTGCTATTTACAGGGTCCTCTTGGACAGTGCTCCTGGTGCAAAGGATGAAATATGCCATTCATCTCTGGCCTCTCTCGCCCTGGCGGTTTCAGCCGCCGATCTGAAGCAAAAGTATCCTGTCGGTGCTCGTGTAGTATGTGAGTTGTGCTGTTCAATGTCGTTGTCTTGAAGTTGTGTGGTATCTCCTCTCGATAAATCTCCAGCCTTGTTTAGACAAGCTACAGGGCTTGTTTAGTTTCGTATTAGACATGAGTATGTCGTGTGTCGGTAACTACAGTGGGTGTGGCCGACTGACATCAACGTTCAATTCAATGTCACAGCTTTGCTGTCCAGTGTGTCTTTGAGGATACCTATAACCGAATGCGACTTTGTCGAATGTCATGACTTACGTCGCTTCTGTGTTCTGCATGGTAACCAAGCCTTAAGTGATTTTGCTTGCACTGGCTCTGAATTCTGTTGGATATCACGTTTAAGGTAGACCAAGTGTGCCTTTAACGGGTGAAACTCCTAAGGTCGCTAAGTTTTGATCCCGCACCACTTATTCTGCTTCTCTAACGCACAGTTATTAACTTATTCTGACAATCCTTTGTCAGTGCCTCTTTGTCGTTGTCCACAGAGTTTATAGCTTTCCTGAGTGGGATTAACCTCATCTGTTGCCTGCCCTTCATTGTGAACGTTAGTCTTTGTTAATGGCTGAAGTAAGTTCGCTGGAGGGTTCACCGAGAAGCGTTCTTTTTTACAAAATGTAGTGGTTTATGCTGCCGCGTGCTCTCCTTTGAAGACATTCTGTTTCCAGTCAGAGCCGGCCAGGTTTCTCACTCCGAAAAGTCAAACAGAAAACACAGATCGCTGAATTCAGAAACAGAAGACGAGGAGTGTATACAAAATCACTGAAAACACTCTAACGGACCTACCGTATCTCTTACGATGTGTCGAAAATAAACAGTCAGAAATCATCGATGTGTGTTGGGTATTCGTAGAAGCTGTCGCCGTTGGCATGTGACTCCATTAACCTTATCTCGCTGTTGCTAGCACGCAGGGCTTGTCGTCCAGCTTTAGCTGTCAAGTTTTTTCCGCCTGGTGTGGAGCGAAATTCTTCCAAAATACTCCTCAGCATGCCATCCTTCGTTGTTTTGTGTTGCCAACTTCCCTGAAGCTGGGTTAATGTTTTCCTCCGTCAAGTTTTAGGTGCGTGCACTTTTACTTGTTTTTACCATCTTTACTATGGGACTCTGGCTGTGAGTTCTCCCTTCCTGTATGTTTCATATATATGTGATAAAAAGAGCTTATTCTACTTTCTGAAACAGCCATACAGAAAACACGGAGTTCTGTTTATTCGCCAGTCGTGATTCGCTGAGGAAATGGCCATTCCTGTCGGCGGATTTCACGCTGTAAATTGTCAGTGTTTTTCGTTCATCATCATTAGAAACAGCAACATCAGTGTTGACACTGATGCTTCACTGCCGTACAACCACAGAGTTTACATATCTATATTTGAATCGTTTCAATGAAAGAAAAGAATGGATGAGGGAGGGGGCTTTGTGCTGACCTGTCGCTGCCTCCAAGCGCTCAAGCAGCCAACCTCCGTTCATTTCACCACGGTACCGAATACCTCTTGCCTGTTTCTTTTCTTGTTATTAAGCCGTTCTTCGTCCTGCTTTGGCTTAGGTGACTATACCCTCACGCACAGCGAATTTCTAAAGCATATGCTATTTCGCAAATCGTTCCCGAAGCCTACCCGGGTGGGTTAGGAAAAACAATCCTGAGAGGCATTCAGATGAAGTATCCTAGCTTCGACTACTTGCTGGCAGTAGTATAATATTAATATATGTTCTGATAAAGAGCTTGATGTCGTATTGTGGCAGCACCTTTCAGCGACATTCTTCAAAGGGGATTCAATTTCGGGCCACCTGTGGAGGCTTATTTGAAGTTGATAGGGTATCTTTAGACTCAAACGAGTTTTGGGTACCTGGGTGATCACTAGATTTTGATTCAGACTGTTCGCACTCGTTCGACTGTACAGATGTAAGCTGAAACTGTACCGCCTTTTTTCTTTATCTCAAATTCCCCTTCTATTGCTCAGCAGTCTTCTTCCAGATGAGGTGCTCAAGTATAAAGACTAAAGTGATCCTGCAGAAGGAATACTCCATTCAGGGCAAAAATAGAGAGAGAGAGAGATGGGGGCATTTCACCGCGGTACCCGTCTAACAGAGCAATACAACTCGAACTGGTTGATCAACTGATTGAGTGACTTATCCGGTTCGTATTTTGGCAATCAACTCGTTTTTTACGAATGTTATTAGGTCCATATTTCTGGTTGTTGACCTTATTAATGATGGGAAAGTACATCTACTATCCTCTTTCAGCCTCCATACTGTTATCCGAAGTACGGATTTATTACTGGGCACTCGTCTGCATATCGGAGGTTCATTGCTGTGTTTTTGTAAGGTAGCGCGGAAATGTAGCTCAGTTCTTAAAGCGCAAATTTAGTCACCGGAGGGTCCTTGGTTCGAACCTAACCTCTGGATCCTGACTGCTTCTGTCTAGCTTTGGGTGGTTTGGCAGTATCTCAGTCCTCGTGCTTTCTTCGGGTGCCAAGGCAGCTGTGCACCGAAAGGATGTTACAGCTGAGAGCTTACTCGATGGACGGTTTTCTCTGAATAGATTATTTTCCTTGTCATATGAACCTTTAATTTTTGATTTGGTACCCAATGTGAAATGAACCTGTTGAGCATGAAACTCTGACTGAACCTGATGTGTTGAGTCAGTACCTTTTTAGTTAAAAGTGGCATGCCGTCGTCCTTGCTTTTGGTCATCTGAATTCTGGGCTTGGTCAGCAGTTTTCGACTTTGTGCTTCCTTGGAGGTGAATAGATGATATGTGCTAGGGAGTGCCACAGCCGAACGACATGTTTCTTTGAGCATGACAGTTTATTTAGTTTCGCCCCGTGGACTTTTGCTGCCTACAGCCTGGCAGCAAATTCGTTTAACGAGAATAGTCTAGGGTTTTTACAAATGATGCGCAGATTTAACTATGCATTTTGAAACTCGTCACTGAATATAGTCAACTTATGTGACAGAGACATTCCGATTCGTCTATTCAGTAGACCTTTCTGACGACATTCTTGATCTACATTTTAACCCGTATTTCTACAAGGATGTCTGAGGCATTCTTTTGACAATTCTTCACAAATGACGTTGTGCCCAGTTGAATTGGCCATAGGCCGCATAGAGCATTCAGGGGAACCAAAAGACGACCAATTCATTTCTGGAATCGGATGTTTCTCTGAATTTGTGTATCTAGGCGGGCAACTATTGCGTTGCTGTTATGATGATAGCTATATTCGACTCTTTGTGTGCTTTATCTTTTTTAGAAGCATGTAAGTCATCACTTGCGGGTAGTGTTTCTAGAGGCGAGCAACTCCAGCCTGCTTTTCTGTTAATGGACCAGGGACCAGTTGTGTAACTTCTCTGTCGACGTTTCTTGTGAATACAGACTTTGTCAAATCAGGATAACTATTACGTTTGACCCATAGTAAATGATAGTCATTCAATCCATGCATAGCTACCGTGCAACCCAATGCCGGGTTGCCTAATCCAAGCCAGCGTTGGATCCGAACCACAGACCTTTCGTCCAGTAGTTTCTGCCATAAATGGTGAGCTGTCTTGAACCATGACACTTGCCGAACCTATTTTATATTGATCTGATCTACCACTCATTTTCATCGGTGCTTCCAGCAATCTATCGAGATGAAAGTGGAGGTATCGGATACTACTCTGGCCTAATCGCGGAGCCTCCCAGTGAACGGAATAATCACCGGTAATGCCTCTCCTTCGCACTTTGAAACCTCATCATTCCTACAGTTATTTGCTCTTCTTTGATGATGGATACACACAATATTCTCCACCCAATGAAATTTACCGGATCTGTCATCAGTGTAAGTGATTATTTCTGCCTTTGTACAATAATTGCCTACGTGTTTAGCCAAGGAAAACTGGCGTGAGGCCACCGAAGGGTCACAGGATTTCATCAAGCGCTATCTCGCTCAATACCCTCAGGTAGGGTTTCTGATTCTGGCAGACGTGCTTCGTTTCCCGCTTCCGACTGCACTAACTGATGGCTTGTTCGAGTGACGGTAGTGAAACCGGTCGTTGGTTTATCCACATAGCTATCCATTTTTTTCCACCTCCTGCCTCCAACTCTTCGTCAATAAGCCGATATCAAAGACCCCTTTTTAGTGGAAGTTGTTGAATGTTGGGAGTCGTTCACTGATTTTGGATGCTTCGGATCTTTTAAGCCAGTTCAAGTTTGAGGGTCGCCCATCATTTATTGTGAAATACTGACCTCTATGAGTCCTTTCTTTAACTAAGAAAGCTACGCCGGAGTTGCCATTGGTCAAGGCCCCAGCGACTGCTGGGGACCGCCATCACAGCCTGCATAATTGCTGGAACATGCAGACAAAATCCACTAACTACAACACTTTGTGTACACTTGGTTGGGTACATCTCCGACGATTGTATTCCCCTTCATGCACCACTTCTCCTTCCAGGAAAACGTCCGCATACTTCGTTTTTATTAGTTTGAACAGAATGAGGGAAACTTCCTCATAGTCCGGAGCCCTTAGTTTTTCTACTGTGTGGTGACGTGATTGTTCCCGATTTTCTTTTTTCGTCTCTCCTATTAAATCTGCTTTCAGCGTCCGATGGTTCGTCTAAAACCAGGCCAAATGATCGAAACCGAACTGGATGGTGACTGGATCCAGGCCACTGTAGACAAAGTGGATGCAAGTCTGGTGCTCATTCGGTTTTCCGAAACACACAGCGAGTGGATTTATCGAGGATCAACACGCTTGGAGCCTCTTTTCAATGACCTGGTCAGTTGTTTACCCCCTACTGGCAACAGGCAATCTCTACTAAACATGACTAGTATGATTTTCCGATCTTTGTATCATCTCAATGCAGTCAGCAGCTGACTTAGCCAAGTAGGATCGCTTCACGACCTAAAGTTGAAATTAAGGTTTGATTTTTCTGAAAAACTGTTGGCCCACTTTTTTCTACCCTAAGCTAAGACAAGTGTGGGTCTCAAACCGTCAGTAATTTTTTTTGAAGAGGAGTGAGTGTGACTTATGGACGTGTTTATACTCGCTGGAACACGAGATGTATGGATTGAGGTATTAACCCCGCATGTGATGCGACTTCTCCAGCGACGTGTCGTCTATCCAGACTTTCATAACAATATTCTGGGTTGAATGGCAGCTGTGCATCCGGTAGATGGTGCATTTGTATGAATTTTTTGATAGTAGTAACCGATGAAGCTATATTAGCCTCCGGTGTCCCGCTTTCCTCCTTTTGAGTACTAGTATAATCTCACTTCCTGAATTCACGTTCGCCAGTTTAGACAGGCGAGGTGGCTCAAGAGCGCGAATTTCCTGGCTGCAAGGTCCGTGGTTTGAACCCGACCTCTGCCTCTCGACTTCCCCTGTTTAGGTTTGGGCAGCCTGGCAGTGTCCCAGCCCTCGTGCTTCCTTCGGGTAGCATGGAAGCTAGGCACCGAAAGGGTGCTACAGCTGAACGATAAAAAATAGGTTGGACAGGTAACTGAATGGAATAGAAACACTCGACATCAATAACCCATTACAATTTACCTAGCCCCTTTCTACCTTGCCTATAGAACACAAATAGTTCCAGGTTTCCCTCAATAAATGCATTCATGGAGTGTGCAGTACCTCTCATCAGCAAAACGTGCTTATTCCAGTACAACACTTCCTCTCCTTTCGGGTGTACTTAAATGGGTTCTGCTTTCGAATTACGCTAAACTGGGGTTCTGCTCCAAGTGTGTGATAGGATACAAAAACTGTCATTTTTCTTGGTTTGGCTTGTCATTTAGAGAAAAATCTTTTCTCACTAGATTCGGAAAGTGGCATTTTCTTGCATGATACCATTTGCCAGAGGAAGATGGTTCATTCACTCCATTACCTCTCGCCCCACTCTTTCTTGAGCTGAGTGCCGTGCTTGACAGTAGCTATTCGCATACGCGCTGCTACTGTTTCAATTCCTCAATAATGATTTGCTACGATGCACAACCCTGATATTTTCGGCGAAAACAAACGGTAGTTGTTGTACCGACCTGTCGCCAACCTGGGCAACCGGGTTGCAAAGGTTTCGTCACCAATCAGGTGGCATATTAGCATTTTGTCGTTTAAATATTCCATCGTCATTGTGAACAATCAGTCAGAATCAGATCCCAGTGTGCCACTCGAATTTTTTTCATGTTGAAGGAAAATAGCTCTAGTCATTTCTGTTGGAGGTAATTGTCCTCAAACATGAGTGATTGAACAAAGATCGGAGGGGGCTCTCATGACAAACGACTCGAGACTTTTGGCTCTTTCCTTGTCGTGACCCGGAATACCATGGAAGGTAGCAATTCTTTAACACCATTCAAGGGCCAAACAAGCAAACGGATCGCCCTACGGTACACCATAAACGGGTTCACACAATGCCACTAGAATCAGAAGGAATCTTGGTAACCCGCAAACTAGCTGTTACGTTGAGGAACTTAGTAAAAATCCGGCGGGAATATGGTAAACACTGCTGTGCTTCGGCTGCCACAAATACTGTTTTCGACACATTGGACGATAATTAACAACAATTTATACACAAGAGTTACTTTATCAGGACTGCTTATTATTGAAATTTTTTGCTGTTGTAATGTAAAATAATTTTCGGTACGTCAGTTATTCTTGGTTTTCAGTGACTTTGTTCTAGATTACCTTCCGCTAAGGCCGATACTTCACACTTAAGTAATCTGCCTATTGGTCAAGTTTAATTGGAGTTCAAAACTTAACCAATGAGCAGATTGGAGTTCAGGGGCGAGATGGGCCAAGTAGTTAGAGCACGAATTTACTGACCGGAAGGTCCGCGGTTCGAACCGGACCTCTGCCTCTCGACTTCCCCTGTCTAGGCTTTGGCAACCTGGCAGTATCCCAGCCCTCATGCCTCCTTCGTGTGGCATGGCAGCTTGGCACCGAAAGGGTGCTACAGCTGAACAATTATCAATTGGAGTTCAGATAGCTCATCATCAATGCAAACGTTCTCATGACCAGTCCTTCCTGCTCCTCTTCCCTGGGCCTTCATTTGGGTGAAACCATTAGTCAACTTTTTCGACTCATTCCATAAGGACCGGCCAGAATTGTTGCTGATAATAGTACAACCTAATCTCTTATTTGACAGAATTCAGCACCCGGTCAGGCAGCTCTTGGTCGGAGTCAGCGTTTGGAAGTAGAGTATGGGAACGTGGATGCATGTAAGTTGCGGCTATTTTCCTTGGTTCACTTCATTAACTTGGTCCCAACGCGTGAAACTACCCAACCGGTTATCTTGGTTGGTTACTCTCACTTAGGCAATCTTTGTTCAGTTTTTCGCCCTCCGCAACATAAGAAAAGCCACGGAAACCAGAGTTCATGGCTTAAATACAATTGACTAGTATGAGTACTATTTTCGTCTGGTGTCTCCTCAGTAAGCTCTTTATGAAACACGAGGATCGTCACCAACTGCTGCTTTCAGTGGCCGTTTTACGTCCGCGAGAACCCCACAGTCTATCATTTCTTAAGGCATAACCATTCCATTACATCACAACTGTCGTGGTTTCTGCCAGCAGCTGTGATGCGGCAACGATATTTCCAGGTGTGGAAACTACTGGAACGTGTAATTCGACTCCGGCTTTTTAGTAATATTGACTGTATTCATTATCGCGAACCAAGTAAAATCGGATGATGCATCGATATCGGCAGAACCGCCTTGACCGATACATGAAGAAACCTGAATCGATGCAGCTCTATGAAATCGCCGTATTCACAACGAAGAGAGGTCATTCGTCATCACTTAATAGAAGTCTCCTGTAACCCATACTTCACCTGTTCGGTGTAGTTGCGATAATGCTCGGAGAAATAGCATCGCTACTCGGTTCCAATGCAAAGGTTTAACGCTTCGTCACTATCCACGCAGTGAAATTTGAATCATATATCTCAGGCGAAGACTTTGTTTGTTCATCGTGGATGGCAGACATGATGAACAGCTGGATCTGCCACAAATGAATAAGTGTTAGGGTGCATACCTGTTGTTACAGTATCTGACGAATACGAATGCAGCAGTGTGTGAGGCATTAATCCAGCCCCAACCTCTCTGAAAAGAGTTTCCTCCTGAGAACATCACAAACGAGAGATTTAGCTGGGTTCCAGGTGAGTCTCTCGAAAAAACCAAATTAGTTTGCAACTGAGTGTATATTCACTAAGAGTTTACTCCACTTCACAAATTAAATAGAAGCCGTCCCTAATGACCATCTATTACCAAAAGTGGTGGTTGGTGGAATGAGTGTTTTGTGTAAAACAGTCTCCTTTGAAAAATGCCTGTAACCGATCAAGAAGTCATCGTTTCTGAAAGGTTTGAAAATCTGTCGATCGGTTTGCAGACGTTTCTAAAACAGTATTCTTTTTGGCTACCTGGGGTCGACAGGTTAAATACGGGCGTTTTCAAAGCTTGAATATGTTAAAACATCGTTGCCTGGTTGTTTTTTTTTAAAAGAGGGCTTGGGGCGACATCATAAAAATCGCGAACTGCGTAACACGCTTATGGTGCTTCAAAGAAAAGTGGAAATGCCCATAGCTAGTGAACCTCCAACATTTATTTCGGAGAGTTTTGGCCGCACATTCAAGTGGTTGACGGTGAAATTGTTTGACGAGCCCGACACGTTTGCTGTAACAACAGTGTGAAGTTCCGCGGGCATTTTGAACCATGTTGTTCTATGTGTTGTTATGACCGATTACCATAGAACCATTATTCCATCATTCGCGGGTGAGAACTTTTATGATGTCTTACTGAATGAGACAACTTCAAAAAACCGTGTTTACAATAATATGAATGACCTCCAGAGTAAAATACCAGGGATATCCATAAACAGTTGGAACCCAAGTGGAATCATTGCCAACTGTTGGGGATCATCTCCCTTGGAGAGACCAACTAGGTTATGCAATAACCATGATAGCTCTGAAGTTAGTACTATACGAGGTTCCTCTTTGTATTCTGGAGCGTTTTTGTTGTAGTGTGGGACATCCTGTGGTATAAATTTTTAAGTCTCCGGGAAGGGTTGCTGTTTGGTAGGTTTGGAGCTGCCACACTGCTACCACGATGATACATCCGTTTCAATGCACCGCTTGATTCATAACTTAAAGGAAATCATGTAAAATCCATTTTCTGCACTACAAGTTAGCTTGGACGTGGTATGGACGAAAAACCTTCATTTAAAGCTTATTCGGACGGGTAGGGTGTCATGGATTCAATGCATGCTATAGATGTGTGGTGGATTCGGGCATTCTCTCTCTCTCGGATTTCTTTATTAATTTCCCATGTGAATGTTTGAGGTTTCCGTGAAATCCAGTGAATCATCTTTATCTAATGGTCCTAATGTAATTGGCTCCCCGTGTCTACTTCCCCACTGCATCTTTAGCACTGACTGACAAGTCTTCGGCGTGCAAACTACGCAAAGCTCGAAAGTCCGCTACCGGGAACAGAGACTCCTCACTCGCAGAAAACAATTCAACGGTTGTCAAAACAGCGTCTGAAAGGCGTGGGTCCAATCTGCGGCGGACCGCAAGTGGACGTTTGGAAATGGCTGACCTAGAATGTGCAGGCACCATTGTCCCCTATTTGGATGGTCTGATAGATCAGTTTGTGCGCAAAGAATACGGTAAGTATGGTTTAATCTAGCATTTTGCACGCGGTATCTGCATTTTTGCGAATTCCCAACACAGTCTATTTGCTTGACCTACCTAACTAGCCAACTATTCCATGTTTCTCTTCCCAGTTCCGCACAAATGTACCCACTCCTGTCTGATTGCACTCAAAAAGTCGTCCATGTCTCCCGCCTCCGAGGACCCGTACTTTTACAAAGGCCTTAATCCACTAGAAATCCCATTTCGCGCTGGTTGGCTGAGGTTCGTGTTTTCTCATTCCACTTATGACAGCCACTTCCCTTGTTTGGTATTTTGACCTTTCTCTTTATGGTGTGGAATATGCACGCCGGAGGTATGCTAAAAGACATTGGATCGATCTCTCGGTTGTTTTGTTGTTAACTCGCTTGTTGTATCTTTATGTGGGATCTCATGATATACAGAACTGATATGCAAATCTTGTTTGATCGTCTACTCTACCATCGGAAACCCCCGGGTACTAAAGCAAGTGCCAGGTTGTTGTGGAATAACCAGCTGTATACCTTGTTCCACACTTTGGTCCCACAACAGTAAATTTATGCCTTGGCCATATTTGTGCAAGAAAGAACTCAGATTAGTTTTAGGGTGTCATTCAGTCAGGGGTAGGCGCATCCAAATGTGGTCGTTAGGGCGTCTATGTTTTTAAGATCGTCGTACTGTCTCGCCTTGAATACTGCATCTAGAACGCATTGACTTCATTTGATTTTTTTGCTGAACTAAGAAATAGGTTGTCTGTTTGTATCTAGCTTCCAACCAGGTCTCAAGTCTACATACCATTTTTTCTTCCAAAAGGTACTTGTTGGTCGGTCACCCCAATGACTTTGGTCGACAGTTTATCGTTTACAATGCACCGTGCGGACGACAGCTACGTTCGATGCATGAGGTACAACGCTTCCTGGACCGAACCGATAGCAAATTGACTACAGATCTGTTTTCATTCGATCCGAATCTGTGTATTAATAGTGAATTTCGAGCAGAAAAGGTTAGTGACGTCTATTTAACCGGTGAACTGCAGTTCTATCAAATCCCTGTCTGTATGCATATACCGGGAAAAATTTGTGTAGTGCTCACTCGACCCATCTGTTGCTGCTCCCATTTTCTTGCGCAACTTCTGTTTCCATGAACTTCTTGGCTGACACTCCTGGCAGAAGCCCGCCGGATTGTCGTTTGTTCTTTGGATAACCTGTTGAGACCACTTTGTTGCTGATAGGCTAAACACAAAAGTTTTCTAATTGTGATCATCGTCCAGGCAAAGTATGACAAGCGGATACCCACCCTTACGTCAGGTATTTTATAAATTCTGTTTCATGCTCGCATTTTCACATGAACCCCCAGCGATATGTACACGGTTTTCCAAGTGGCGTGGAGGGAGATATCTTACGTTCGACGCCAAACAGGGTACAATGTCCTGTATTATTTAGTCTGATGAAGGCAAGACATTGTCACTTTTCATCAAAAGGACGATATATTGGACATAGTGTTCTTGTGAGAAATGTTGCTCCGGGTATGAGTATCCCCACAGCTACTGTAACGTGCTTCTATGCTTCATTGTGTAAAGGACCACTCGCCTACTCTTTCTAGAGTTTCGAATTGCATCATCCTCCTGCAGGCAACTTGGTCCGTTCGTTTCTGTGTGGGTAGTTAGGAAAACCTATTGACTACACCTGATGGGCCGGTATTTCACATGGAATGACCTGCCCGCTCGTCAGGTTTCCTTTGATGATTCAAGTGGTTCATGAGGAGGTTTAATCGGAGTGCTATCTAAGTGTATTTTCAACCACCAGCAGTGGTTCGCGTTACAAGGAGTACCTCGTCCAAACGCGAAATTAGGTTACTCCGATCATCTTTTTCAACCCGTTGTTGGTAATATGGGATTTGTAATACTATCCGGACGCGATGTGGTGGGTTTGGCTAATAACTAAGCAAGAACTCATCCCGTGGAAATGTTGTGATACAATTTGAGCATGCACTATCACGAAGAATCCACTCGTAAATAGAGTAATCCCACGACCGAAATGCTTTTTGGACCAAAGTAGTGTGACACAGTTTATCAGGTCAAAGCACTGTGCATAACGTATGTCCTGCGATGCCTTTAGAGTCGGTTTGTTAGTGGTCCTCTAGACTGACTTATACTATTTGTGTCTAACCTCTACCCTAATCACTCTTCCAGATTAGTGTATTCAGCTTTACTAATGAATCTGCATAGTCAACATTATTTTTACAACAAATGAACCTTTATCCTCGCCCTTGACTTTTGTTCTGCCCTCTTCACGTCCGGCTGTTTTTGGTGCAATCGCTATTTCTTCTTTTAGTAGGTCGCTGACTTCTCCAGCTATTATTATTATTACTGATATTATCAATACTGCGTTTTCTTAAGATCCTCTAAAAGTGTTTGGGAGGGTCCGGTCCAATTTTTGTTGTCCGACTTATATCAGGAAACGCTCCACGAGCAGTTTTGTATTCTCTCCCCCATGATCAACCTTGCTTCTGAACAGACCTTCACTCACATTGCGGATATCTCGTATGGAAAAGAAAACGTTCCTGTACCGTGCGTGAACAGTATCGACAACGAGGTCCCCGGCTACATTGACTATATTCCCAGTCGACTACCAATTGGTGACGTACCTTTAATAGACGATGACAGCTTTGTTGTCTGCTGCGATTGTACGGACAATTGTCGCGATCGGACTAAGTGTGCATGCCAGCAGCTCACTGGTAAGTTAGCTTTCTCATATGCATTTTGCATTCATTCAATTACGGAACCCACAACTCACTGAGTTCGGACGTTTTTTCGTTTTGCTGATTGTTAACTGTCCAATTCATTTTTCTTGCTGCACACAGCCGAAGCCAGTTCACTGACTAATCCTACTGGAATGGTCGACACTCAGGCCGGATACCGTTACAGACGCCTGGCTCAATTCACGGTGGGTGGGATATACGAATGCAACTCGCGGTGTTTGTGTGATCGTCGCTGCAGCAACCGTGTAGTGCAACAAGGTCTTTGGTTTCGCTTGCAAGTTTTTAAAACTAGCAGGAAGTGAGTTCGATTTAAATGTAATTTCTTTCGCCTTCTAGTTAGTTTTGGATGTGTTAGTTGATGCTCTAAGCAAAACAACGGTGTCCGTTATCTTGTCTGTTGAAGCTGAAGTCTCTGCTCCTAACGTCGTATGTGTCTACTCCCTTGATTTTATTGATTGCGATTTGTGAATGAGCTTAGAGTTTATTGAACAGTGATTGTGTTTCTGGGTCTGCATCTGAGATCGTTTTTGAGCTTTTTTTAACGAGTTTGTAAATAGCTTAGAAGCCAGCGATATGTCTTTGGCTTGTGCCCATCACTGTCAGGTAGAATTCCTCACAGACAACACTTTACGACCGAGAAGCCTATCCGGCACACGATTGGCCAAAAGTGCGGGCTGCTTGCTGGCCCGGCATCAAGGCGAGCTCTGATTGATCGAAAGTCGACCCAACAACCAATCATGACCCAGTATTCGCCGAATACCGGTTGCTAATGACGCATCCAGAAGGCGTCCGAATTTCCAGAATGTTGTTGCGGCACACACTTTGTACAAATTGTGCAAGTGTCCTTGATTTGGTTTTGGGCGTTATTATAATGTGTGCACCTTTGGGGGTTGTTCTGACGGGAACGCTAGGGAGCTTCAGATCGAAAACTAAGCTGAGGAAAATACCGTTATTAATACTACCCACTACACATTCATGAACGCTGTCCGTCTTGATGTTGAGGATCCTAATCAGCCTCACCGAAAATATGCCAATTGGTGTTTGACCTGACGAGTTCCTCAGCCGGTTATCATTCAGGGTTTGAAGCAGTTCGGATAGTTGTGGTCACATTTCTGAGTTGGTAGGATATATTCTAAATGTTCTTTCAACCATCCCGTTGCGTCAGTTTTCTTTTCTGACTGGTCGTAGTGATGAAACGTAAGATGCTATGAACAGTATTGATTTTTCTGTATCTGCAACCTGGTGGAACATAGCTACTTCGCTTTAACTGGTGTAGTCTGCTGTGACCATGTTAGTAGGAGAACTTTTCATTAGCTCGCCTCTTCTAATTTCTCGCTGCCACCAATCTCTTCCGTATCGGCTCTTCTGTTTTTAGGGGCTGGGGTATTAGGGCCCTTCATTCCATCCCTAAAGGCACATTTCTGTGTACTTATGCCGGTGCTATATATGACGAAACAATGGCTGTTCAAGTGAGTTCCTTTCGCCCGACATCAACGTTCTGCCAACTATATTCCGATTTTTCGCACAGCTGCTTGTTAATGTTGGCTTTCTATCTGTAAATGTCTAGTTTGGAAACAAGTGGTGTTTTGCTGCATGTTCTGAGATTTCATTTGCATGCCAGACTCTGCACTTACCCTGAGTTTAGATGCATTCATCGCATATATCCTTCGAGTGAGGTATACAGTTATCCTGTTCGTTGCACACTTTTACCGATCAAGATGGGTAAGTCGTATTGAACAATGGCTGGCACCACTTGATATGTATTCCACAATTAAAGGACGGGTGGCACTATATCCCGTCCAGCTGCGAGTCAACCACTGCTGTTCAGCCACGCCCGGCCGAACGGTTTTGTGTTCAACAACTATCTGGCGGTTGCGCGTTTCAATATCCTTAGATAGTTGAGAGATGCGCATTGTAGAATTGTAACAGTTTTGCAGTGCTTCTCGGCATTTTGGTGTAGGTTAAATTCACTTGCCGGAAGAAATCATGATTGAATCGCTGGTTAACTGTTTGGACGTGGAACTGTCTTCTCATCCAACTAGGCCTATCAACCTTACAAAGAATGGAAAACAAAAAAGAAAACTTTGTGCTGACCATACAGGCTGTCGAGCATTATTAATTAATACAATACGTAGCTCGATTTTCGGTAATACTACAACTCAACGCCGTGGACGCGATTTGGACGCTCCGAACATCTCTCATAAGACTTATATTGCGATTAACACGCTTTTTTGAAGGACCACCACGATAGAAAGTGGAACTGCGTTTGAAAGCTCTCTATGTACAGGCTCTCTATGTACGGTTTCCACGAAACGTCGTACTAACATGGCACTGTTGCACAATCATTAGCTCAAATTGATGACGCATCACTGAATATTTAAACCGTTCGACCCTTCGCTGGGATGCAAACCTCTAGGATTTTTGGATGGGACATAATGTGACGAATTTCAAAACAGTAATAAGCTAGATGTTTTAAATGAGATAGAAGTTGGAAAAATTTAGTCTTTTACGTATCATTTGGCTTTAGTAATAACAAGCAATACAATTCCCGATAGCAAAATTTAACGGCCCCAATTGAAACGGAACCCATTGAACTCATGTTTACGCATTATCCTCACACACTCCTTTCGTTCCAATTGTTGTTTCCCACCTTTGTTCCCTATTACTAACCTGATTTACTTTTTCCAGGAAGGATTCGACTACGGTGACGAGTACCAGGCTGAGTTGGACTATATAGAGACTGTGGAAAAAACAAAAGAAGGGTATGAATCGGCGCCAGAGGACCCGGAAGACGTGGATCTAGCTTTACAGCAAGCCACAAGCCAGTTTGGTGAAGGAAAGCCGGAAAAGGACTCTGAGTATGATCGCCAGAACGACAGCGATAGCTCTTTGTCTCATAGCACGAATACCGAGATGGATGACGATCGTGGCAGCCGTTGCAGTGATTTCAGTAGCACGTCATCAAGTCGAAACGCTGTGGGTTCGGCTGAGCCGTTGACACTAAAAAGAAGCGGTCTCCGTAGCTCCGTTACAAGACCTATTGTCGCAGAAGAAAGCAACCTACCTACAGACTCTGAACAACTTTCTACCGTGGATAAAACGTTAAGACATATCCAATCCTCAATTCCTTCGGTCACAACCCTAGATTCTCCAGAGATTAGAAGAGCTGGTAGTGATTCCGAGTCTCCTTGCCCTCCGACCGGTGAGCGTCTTCTCAGTGTAAATTTTTCGGATGAACCTATGGATATTGCTGCGCCAGTACTCCCTTCCATCAATGACAGTGAGGGTCAAGTAGCCAACTGCTCCAGCGACGATCGAGCTATCCCCCCAGAGTATGACTCAGACTCAGGTGATATTTCGTGTTGTACAAATGTCAGTATTACCCTGGAAAATATGGAGTTGACCTCTGACTCACACCTTTCCGGTAGCCGTCAAAGCCCTCCAACCTCGGCAACTGATCTCCCGGCGACGTCAACTGAGGCTAAAGCTGTTCCGAAAGCCGCATCATCTGCATCTTCAAACCCGCTTCCAAATGAGGATCCGCTCACACACCTCGAAGGCCAGCGAATGGTACTTGCGCGAAAAACAATCTGTCGTGGACAAGCCCTCAGACGGTCTCCTGCTGTCAGTGAGCTTGACCAGAAGGAGTGCGATATGAAAGATGAGGAATTTGAAAACAACATGTACACTAGCGTAAAGTTGGAAGAAATGTCCAACTCGGACTCGAAAGCGTTTTTGAGTAGCGCAGACAAGAAAGAGTCTGATACTAAACGAACATCTATCGGTCGGCGTCCGGCAAGTACCAAGCAACTGAAAACTCCTCCGAAACTGTACGAAAATGAAGTAAAACGACATACACGCGCTCGCTTCCGAGCTCGCTCGATCAGTCTACCGCTGCAGTACACTGCTCTGCATAGTGTGCGTCGAATTGTGGACAGGGTGGACTTTGGCCGCATACCACAAATCAAGCTGGCCCGCTTATCACGTAAGTAATGAAGCCCAAATTTCTGTATTTTTTAACGACCTCAAACCGGTGGCTGGCGACGGCTCAGTGGTTAGAGCGCGAATTTACTGATCGGAAATTCCGTGGTTCGAACCCATCCTCTGCATCTCGACTTCCCCTGTCTAGGCTTGGGCAACCTAACAGTATCCCAGCCCTCGTGCTTCCTTCGGGTAGCATGGCAGCTAGGCACCGAAAAGGTGTCACAGCCGACCGGCTTTTTTATGGAACGATGACCGTCAGTGTATTTTTGGCTGGATTGCATGAGAGTAACTAGCCACCACATCATCTCTCTCGCTACTCCGCTTCATTCGCATATCTTGCACGCTTGTACATAAACTTTGAAGCAAAAAGAGTCAACAAATATTGAAGCGGATGAACCAGCCCTGTAGGATATAGTGCGGTGTACATTGTGACTGGCTAAGTTGAGAGTGACAAACTTGGAAAATTACGTTTCCTTGAAGCGTTCATCTCCTGATCTTCAATCTGGTCAGAATATTTTTGATGCGGTCACATCTAAATTGTTGAATGAACGTCACCTGAACGAAAATCAGACTTTATCATTTTTCATTTAGAACGGTATTCACAGCAACGTGTGGTACTGTTCATGTTATGAGGAACTGTTGAACGTCCCACCATCAGTTTCGCACTTGTTGGAACTCGTCAAGTAATCCTGATCCCCTGATTACCAAAACTCCCAATCTGTATCCAAGCATCGAAACGGACGTATGTTCACAAATCACAGTGGCGTTAGTGGGAGATTCCATTAAATCTCCACGGAAGTATAAACGGTAGATTCAGGCAGATTCAAGTGCGGAGTGAGAGTGGTGAAAATTGGATAGCCAGACCGAACCGATAAGCTCGGAAAGGCGAGGGCAATATAGGGCTGGTCACAAGGTGAAATCCACCCCAAAGGTGGCGTCGCATGAAGGAAATACCTTGAATATCGTCCCGACTGGAGATTGAGTTGGCCTTTGTGTAGCACTTTGGTTGAACACTCGTGAACTAAGGATTCAGTCAACATAACCTCAATCTGCAAATTACTATTCATCTCCATTCCTACTTTGATTTTCAATTACGAAGTAATTTGGGTGGAATTTCAGGGACCGGATATACTTGATGCACCCAAAAACTAGTGAATGAATGCCTCCATAATTCTCCTTCCACCAAATAAGACCAATCTGATTCCTTAGCATGGAGAAATATGTTGTGCTCTTCTCCCATTCCAAGTTTTGTGCAGTACCCCCTTTACTTTGTGTATCGTACTTAGACCGCTATTAGACAACTTGGGTTGTCGCGGGTACTCCCAAAAGGGGTATTAACTTAGGCTGGGATATCAACCAAAGTTATGGTTTCCAACAATGGGCATGGTTATTTATATTGTGATATTGTAAAACGGATGTCACTGTTGCCAGGTGAGACATGGTTAGGTTGATCTCACATTAATCTTGAAACGTCCCTACCATCAAATGGTTTTTTGGCTGGGAAATCCGGTACTTCCTTCACCTTCAAGGTGGAAGGCGATACTATACTGACAGAAAGTCCCATGTCCGGCAGATGACAAGGTGTGATGTGATTAGTTGCTTCCAGCGCAGCGTGTACTCAAAAGTCTAATAACCTCGAACTCATGTAACTGGGACCTGCCGGTGCATCAAAACAGAATGCTGCAAACTGCAAGGGGAACAACGTTTAACTTGACAGAAGGATGTGTAAGAGATTACGAAAACTTTGGGTGCTTTAAGTACAGTCCACATTACAGGATGGGCTATCCGTGACCCTCGCTTCGCCTGGCCGGAGAAATCGAAAAAAAAGTGGCGGCTAATCAATGTCAGTAACGCCCATCCTGTCGGTTTCTCCGCTCATTGTCTGACTGCGCGCTTGGAGGTCTAGACACCTCAGAATGCTTGAGATAAGCCAACACCCCCCTCACTCACTCCTTTCTGTTTTTTCGCGTTAGAGACACAACCATAAAGTTTATCTAATTATGTTTAAAGTCTTACAGTGAAAATAGGAAAAAAGAGTAGGTGAAGGAGGGAACTTGGTACTTGCCTGTCGCAAGCATCCTGAAGTGCCTACATCTACAATCGCTAAATCAATCTAGGAAGAAAGTAACAGCACGAACGCCACTGACATCGAGTAGCCATCATTTCCAGCGCCATTGTCTTCAGCTAGACGCACGAGGGTCACGTGTACCACATTTTGGGAGACGAACAACACCCGAACTTTTTTGATATCTCACACCCTTCTGTCAGCTCTTGATTTCCGCCATTTTGAAGGAGGTCCGGAGAGCAGCACTCGTCTCCTAGATGATGCTGAATGTCCTCCCGGACTGAAGTACCCGCTGCACAACCATATACTCGTCTTCTAATTACCTCGTTGCGAATCCGTTGATGCTCCCTGAAGTCATCAACGCTTATGAGGCATCAGTGGTCAAAACCCTGAAGACGCCTCACAGCTATCTTAAGATGCCACGTTTCGCCTGGTTCACGCGACCCTCGAGTTCCATGGATATGCCTTTCTGATGCTACAGGCGACACATTAGCAAACGTGTTTCGCGCATTTAAAATTCATCAGATACATCAAGAAACATCGAACAGTTAATTTCGTTAGCGATAACCATTCTGAATAAGTGAAAATAAGTCGTGGTTTCATCATCAAGCTTCCACCGCACAGAAATTCTGCCTAGCAACCACCTTGTTACAACGGCAAACAAATCCGGACACAGCCTTGTACGTGTGCCCCGGGAATGGTAAAATGTATAAAACCATCGAACTTTTCATCCTTATATCCTGGGTAGCTACAGACCACAATCTGACTCGCATAAGTCTGTCCCAGACAAGCCAAACTTATATCACATCTGTTCCGCTTCTGCAATGACGGTTACGTCTCATCTCAGCTCTCATAATGACCGTTTCAAGTTAACGTTTCAGCAGAACAACCACGAAAGACACAGAGTTTACTGTACGCCAAAAACAAGCAGAAAAGCATTCATGGCGCTTCGCATTCAAGGCGCATGTAACGGTGATATTCTGGTAATTCGGACGCCTTCTGGATGCTGCACCAGCAACCGTCATCCATCAGATGCCTGAACACGATTGGCTGTTGGGTCCACGCTTTTGACTGATCAAGCCTCGCCCTGATGCTGGACCGGCCCGCTGCCTGGTCCTGTGATCAGTCACGTGCACGTTAGGTTTAGTGGCCATTGTAGTGCCCGACCGTGAATGGTAAAGACGTTGGATTATCTTAACTCATCTTAACCCTCTGCTCTACTTGGACAGCCAACAATGAAGCTAATCACTCATGAGTTTAGTTGTAGGATCGGATCCAGCCACTCTTCCATATACTTGTGATGCTAGAGTGCATCCTTACTGTATTTGACCACATCGTTGTCTTCATGTGCCGCAGGAACGATTCGCTAACGCCCAATACAGCAAAATATGTTGAAAGTAGGTAAGCCCACGGAGTGTAGGAAATTTTCAGTGGTCTAAAGCGAACGGGTGGACTGTGTACATTCCGTCACCACACGACAGTTGAAATTGGTCGATTCGGTTTTGCCCCCGTTGTCATTCATTTGGTGGCACCGCTGTCACGCCGACGCAAAGCCGTAATACACTGACCTCCTCAACAGATCCATTTAGTGACGCAAATCTTGTGTCTGATGCAACTTATATGCCTCTGGTGATAGGTTGGCAGTTGTATTCTGAATTGCCGTCTATGTATCCATTCAGACAGCTAAGAGCTCTCCACACAGTGAAGTTTACCAAGTGTTTGATCTGTTTCTTCGTTTTCAATCTTGTGATTGACACTATGAGACGAAAATACATACATCCGTGAGAAGAGAGCTTTTCATGGCTACTTGATCGATATTGAGTACTTTTCAATTACTCACCACCCCAAATGTTGAAAAGAATAGGTCTTCATGATGCGTTCGGAAGTGGTGCGGAGTGAATTGGAGGAAAATGTCCGGTCCTCTACAGGTCGGATGATGTACTGGAGACTGTTGGTACTTTTCCGGATCTAGATTGTCTTATCCTTTTTTCTCATGCTTTGAAGATATATCTCAACAACTGACCAAACTTTCGTGAGCTACACCATGCAGGATACGGCTATGATCAGCTCAGTTTTTTTAATGTCATGTGATCTGACTTCATTCCCGGAGGAAGTTGAAAGGTGAACCTGTCAATAATCAAACTGTTTGACACATGGTTCCAGCTATGAAGACAGCCCTAAACGTCGTGACAAAAGATGGTCAGTGGGAGCTTACGTACGAGGATATGAATAAAATATAGTATTTTTTGCTGTAAGTGAAGCCAATCTATGCTGAAAAGCTAAAAATCACTGTACCACTGTTTCATCCCTATTGGAAATCACCACCAGTGCGCATCTCGAGATACTCCTCACGTGTGACCGCGTGATGTGGATCCCGTGATTGAAGGCTGGGCGGCGTTACCTCCTGTCTAAGTACGAGTTAATCACATTGGTGACCATCTGCTCGTGGCCAAATTGTTAAGTGTTCCTACTGCTAGCCAGGAGGTCGCGTACTCGAAACTCTGGAGTTTCGCGAGATGCGCACTGCTGATTATTCCCAATAAGGATGAAACAGTTGTACAGTGCTTTATCGCTTTTCAGCAAAGGTTGATTTCATTTACAGGACGAAATCTCCATCAGAATCCCCAAATCTCCTCGCACTACCAACAAACTATAGTACATAATGAGACACGTTGGAATGTGAGGTATGAAGCACATGTAGCGAAGGATGTAAGTAGTCTTTTCAGGAAAACCGATCTTTTTTTCATGGTAGTCCCAACTGCACAGAATCACTTTATTCTAGTAAGGTCACTGTGGATTATGATCTGTCAGAGTTAGTTGTCTCCAAAACAGAGTTGGCGACCAGTTTATTGGCCGAATCGGCCGTTGATCCGCGAGATGGCTCAGTGGTTAGAGCGCATCTCGACTTCTGTCTAGGCTTGGATAACGTAGCAGTATTCCAGCCCTCGCATTTCTTTCGAATGGCATGGTAGCTGGGCACCAGCTGAACGATCTATTTTTTCATCTGCATCATCTTCACATCTTGTTTGTCCCGGAACACTTGGAATACCTGGTGCCTGGAACACTCGCTGAACAATGCAAGATGACCTATGGACTATTCTGCGGGCCTTTGTACACTCGTTCAAAAAATGTTGTCTTGGTCGGCGAACAATTGTCTCGAGCGTTCTCGGCTCGGACCCTAATGTCATAGTCCTTTACCTTCCCACCCGCGAGTACTTTTGAATTTTTGGAGGACTATTGACCTCTGTCAGGTGACCTCTTTCCAACCAATAGAGGGTGAGAATTGAGGCAATAGGTGCTGTTCATAAATGTGTGCAAGGACAGTGAGTGCTTATCAATTGATTTACTGTAAATCTAGTGTTTTGTGACGGAATCTTGTTCTCTGAACGTTGCTAGAGTGCCCCATGATCAATGATCCAAACGAATTGAAGTCACCGCATGATGATCAGCCGATGGCGCAACTTCTAGCTCTGTAAGCTTTGGCTTTAGCACTTAATAAGTAGATAGATGTGGTCCACCGAATTAAGGACCAGGTCAAGACTTGCCCAGTCTCACTCCCTACAACCTCATTCAGTCCATAATTTTCCCTTGACATTTTTCTTTTTGATCGCGGACCGCTCGACCCCAGACACTCCCCCAATGCTACTGATGAAGGTGGTCATTACTACGAAGAAAACGAATGAATGTATTCCCAATTTGTATCCTTTGTATACAGCCCTTTGGCAGACAGTCCGATAGAATTGTTACCGTTAGTTGCTCTGATTGGGATATTTTTTAAACACCATTTGAGAATGATGAGGATGCGAATACTATAAATTTACTTTCCTGTGTGCCGTGGGTCTTGCTGTATCAACATCTTGAACGTGGTAGCCACTCGGATTTTGGTCGCGTGGCTGCTACTCTGTAATGCACATTTGGTGATCTTTCAGTGTATCTTTGGGCTGGCTGTGCGTGAAAATTCTCAGTGTGGGACATTTCATCCATTTCCAGGTCAGAATCGGTCTAAAATCAATATGGGGGAAACAGTTCAAGCAACAGACAGATCAAAGTGAGGAAACAGACCAAAGCTGGCTCAGTTAAGTAGCTCCCATTTCAGACCGACTTTGCACTTAAATTGTCTTGTAGTGGTCTGAGGCATGACGTTTCAAAGTACAACTTGAACCTCGGCGACTAACCAAGGTGTCTACCAATCAGGAATATGAGTGTTAGGTTAAACTGAACGAATTAGATGACCGGACTCATCCGTAAGCTCGAATACATTTAAAAGCTGCAGTCCTGCACACAGACTATTTTCTTATTTCTCTGCAGCTCGAGACCATCATCTTGGTAACCTTCGTCTGGCATTTTAATCACTAACCGCGATTCATCAGTTTCGTTGAATGATGTTTGGTTTGCTCGATATATTTAAATGTTCTAACCTACATAGCTCAATGGTCTTCTGACCTGACGCCCCACAAATTCAGCCGTTTTCCAAAGGCGCTAGGTTATCATTATTCAGTTAGCGTTTGTTTCGATCAGCTTACCTACCGTGTTTCTGTTCGAAAGTCACTTGGTTTTGCGCAGTGTTTTGCTTTGTGATTGGGATCTGATTTTTTAGCTAGTTGATCAAGTGGACTTTCAAATCATTTATTAGATTCGATGGTGATTTCTGTGATCACTCACTTTAAGTGCTTTTAGCGTACTTCCTTTGGGCTATGTGATAGAAATGCGTTAAAGTGGTTCCACTGATGAACGATTCCTTTTCATTCCATTGTTAGCCTTTAAGTCACCTGTACACAAGGCTGACGAATGCAGAGTCACTGAAGATACAAAAATTAAGCAGAGGTCCGAGCGACTCAATTCCAACTTGTCAAAAGCGAAAGAGCGTAAGCAGATTAAGATTCAGTTGGTACAGGAATCCGACGTGGATATACCGTGAGTTCTTTTTCACATGTATGTATGTATGCATTTGACTAGTTTCGTCTTCGTGAGTAGTGGTTTGTGTCGTTAACTCCCCATGCAGGTCCGGTGTGGTCTGCTTGTTCGATCACCTTCGCTCCAATAGGCTTCTGATTTCGTGGGCGTTGTTTCCATGCGGGACCCTACACGGTTTCGTACAAGGTGACCGACATCCCAACCTCCTCGCTTGCCCTCATGAAGATCACGCATCAGAGGTGGAACTTTGCCTATCTAACTTTATAAGTCTTCTAAAGCTTTCTAACACCCAACAGCGTCCACGGAGAGTATGTCAAACTGCACCTCCCCATTTCCATAGAAATGGGAATGAAGCTGTAGCGCGATACGGTACAGCACTTCTGCATTCAAGTTCCATCTAGGTACATCCTTCGCATTTATCAAAAGGGATATTGATTTGCTGAGGCCCAATGTCTTTATCTTCCAAGTAGAACTCTGAAGAACGTTCAGTGATGGGTTAATCCACTGGTTATTTTTTTAGAGACATTGTTCTCTCTTTGCAAAGCAGATCGTTACGAAACATTATCTGTACGTCCAGAAGTAAAGCATTAACTTTCCTCGAAAGAATAATCACACGATGCACCCCTTTATCCAAGGTTTACACAGGATGATTCCATCTTTTAAGGCTTCATAGCGTAGATAACGGTCGTAGTCTAAGAGATTGGACAGTCAATCGGTGTTTGAAAAACAGACGAAATTGCTCAAGAGACGCACTCTAAAATGCAGCGCAGGATTTAAGAAAGGACTTATTGCTGACATGAAAGAATGAGAGTTGACAGAGCGTGTCGTGATATCGCCTGCCTTATGTCGATGAGAAGAGTCGTGACAACGAGTGATAGCGCTCCTGAATTAGTTTGGTCTCATTTGAATGCTCAGCTCTTTTTTGGGACCATAATAAGCAGGGTCGATAGCTACTACTACGTCAGCATCCTTACGTCGCGCGAAAAAGAAACCACCAACTGACATACCACTGACAAGAATACGAAGGGTTGATAAGATAGTCCCTTGGGACATGCCAGCATCAGTAGGGAACTTTTGCCCACCCAGGTTTATAAGTTGCATATGGGCTGTGGTCTGAAATGACCCAACCTCCAGCTGCAAGCAACCGCAACTTCACACCTCATTCTGGGATGTCACGTCTAATGTAATATGTGGATAACACTTGTAGCGCTTTCTCATTGCCGCCAAGTCAGGAAGCCACCGACTAAAGTAAATATGCAACACTGTGTAGGACAAGTTACTGTAGGCGGTCTGATGCGGGTCTTCGATAGGCAGACGGGCTTGCATTTAAGCTAAAAATGCCCTCTCGACTAGCTTCAAGAGTAAGCGTCCTATTCAAACGGTAGAAGTCCCCTTCATTGATCCCTGAAATTGGTAAATCGGTTGTTGTTTCACCGCGAGCACCAAGACGTTCCTTGAATAGCATGGGTGACAGATGGTCGAAAGTGCCAACTTTCGTGGGCTCCAGGTGGATTAAATCAACTATATGGACTATTAGGCTAGTGGCCGTAGGTACCAGCGAAAGGAGGAAGGCATTCGATGCGGTGTTATTTGTTGGAAAACACCAAATGAACAGTTACAGACTATTGGACAGAGAAGCAAAACTTTCATGTTCATCTTGTTTATAAATACTGAGTATCCGTCTTCTTCTCGAACGTATATTCGTGAACTTTCTTGGATATTTATGACTGTCACTCAAATGCGAACAAATGCTACAAAGCAATTCTACCAATTTCGTGATAAATCTCACTTTTTAATGGACGCCAAGCGGATTTACGAGAAAACCCCATACTAGTCGCATATCTCATCAGCGGTATCTGCTGCTACACCAGAAATGGTGGATGGGAAAGCTATGTAACAGATTCGTAGTCGAATTTGAAATTGTAAGCGGGATGTCCACATTTCACTCTTATCGAATGATGTTTGAATGCAGATTTCATTCAGGCTCTCGATCACATCTCTGGAGTTGCAAGATAATCAACATGCTGATAGGACGTTTGTGGATTCGCGACGCGATGATGATTATTCTTTATAGGAATGAACCGTGTTTCCTTGCTCCTAATCTTACACTTATTCAGCTTTCGTAGTCTTCCCAACACTTCTGAAATAAAACTGATTGTATTCGAGCATTTTGTCCCCTTCTGAGAATTGGCGCACACGTGTTGAACGGCTTCGCCCAAAAATACGATAAGCAGGTGTGCAGTTCCATCAAGAGGCTACTCACCCAAGCAACTCGCTTTCGGAATTTTTTCGCGTTCCATGCTCTTGTCTATTTTCCAGTGATCTTCGCTCTAAGGTAAATGCGTTTCAAAACTGCTGTCGAGTTCTGAACTATTCCCCATGATCCTACCACTTTGCAGAACTGAACCCCTCTCCGAAGATAAAGAAACGCGATTCAAAAATCCTCCGGATCCTCGACCTCCACTGACGCTTCGACTCAGACGATCATGTTCTCACAATTTGGATTTCTATTCAATCGCCAGCGGTGGGCGATCGCGTGCTTCCTCCGTGGATCGAAACGGCTCTGACCGCTCCAGCATGTCCACTGACACGTAAGCTGCACTTGAGGAATCTCGAACTGCTTTCGATCAGGGCTTTCTTTATGATTGGTTTCGTGTCCCTTCAAATTTTCGCTTGTTTCAGCACTTCATCAGCGCTTTGTAAATTATTGAACGCGGCTTTTTGTGTAATCTATTCCAATGGTTATTTGTTAGCTTGATCAGAGACTTGTTGGTTTTGCTATGTCCCTCCGAACTCACTTTCTTTCTTTCATCGTCCATATCTTACTGTTGGTTTTCAGCTCCAACACCCTTGATACCGGTGAGAAGCGAGTGCTCAGGCGACGACCATCGCACGAAAAACGTGAGTCTTTTTCGGCCTTATGGCTGTTCTAACCCCGTATGTTTGGCGTCGATGTATCCGGTACTTGAGTGGCCTTCTCTTTATAAGTCGAACTATTCTGCTATAAGCCAGGGTACTAGAAATCGGTGTGACTAGTGGGGATGGGTCGTCTGGAAAGGGAGAACCACAGGTCCAACTTATTTAGTCCACGCTTTTCAACCGAATATTACACTTGGACCAAGATCATTTGCCGAGTAGCTTTTCTGGAAGACCGTCAATCCAAAAAGTCTCAGCTATTCCTCTCCATCGATTACCCTGATATCTATTTGTTCTGTACTCAATAAGTCCTCCAACTGAAGTTTTGGATAGGCAGCTGGTATACATGATGCAGGTGAAAGACAGACAGCCATCAGATCTCTGACCCCAAGACATTTCTCGCATCGGAAATCGGTATCTGTCTTTTCGCCTACATTATGCGTGTTCAGTTTCCATCCAGAACTATCCTACTCGGTTCAAAATGAACCACCTCTCGGTGTGTCTTGACAAACCGATGTGTTCAACGCCAACTAGTTGTAGTAAAATTCCGACCCCAACCCGAAAATAAAGGAGCTGCAAAAACACTACATAGTAGGAATCTATGCGAACCAACGAAACGTCAACTGTCTACTTGTCCTTTGTTTTACACTGTTCTTCTGTGGAACACATAGTATGTGAAGAAGCTCAAGCTGCTCCAGGGAAGACAACTTTTGGACCTCCCTCGGGCACAGAGCGCCATCGTCATCGCCATCAACCACGTCCTCAACAGCCCCGTAAATACTTCCCTGTCGCACAACCCGACTGGTTACCAGCACGAATATATTTCAAAGACGATAACCCTTACATTATGGATGCGAAGAAGATGGGGAATTTAGGTCGCTACTTCAACCACTCCTGCAACCCGAATGTGTTTGTCCAGAATGTATTTATCGACAGTCATGATCCCCGGTTTCCAGAGGTGGCCTTCTTCACGAAAAGGTACAGTGTCTGACTGCGTTTGTCATTGTATATGGACCTAGGCAGGAGTGCTTTTATTTACCTTGTTTCACTGCCGTACCGCAAGTTTGTAGTTTGGCGATTTCCACTTTTGCGTTGGAAGTGTCATTCGTGCCGTCGTTCTTTGTCCTGCACGTTGTGCGCTTTTCTGTTGAGGGAGAAAGCACTGAATTCCTTGGTGTTTGCGTTGACTGACGCGTTTGAAGGCTCTTCAGATATTTTCAGCTTGTAGTTTCTCTACGGTTTTTGTTTCTAAACACCAAAAATTAGACAGTGATATACCACCATTTTAAATTGGACGCTTGTCACAGCCGTACGCAATGCGTCTTTATCTCTGAAACGCTTGATTTCGTTCGTCATCATCAAATCCGTCAAATGACGGCTGATTAGAGGAGTGTCTAATCTCAATGCCTCTGTGTCTGAAGTCCGTACTTTTCATCCTCCGGTTCTATGAATTGGTTGTGGGTGCAGTATCGGTCCGAGGTGGCTGCAGTTTTAGGTAAACCGCTATACCACACGAGACAATATTCATCGGATATCTGTTGATTCCATGTCAAATTTAGGTATCCCAGATTGTATTCAGCCACTGGAATGAAACCTGACTATTCGCACCCCTTTCAGCTTACCATAAATTGGCATTGCGTCTTCTTTCGTTGTCACTTCCGTGTGGTCCATCCGGTCTCGAATAGGACAGTGTGGGAATGACCATGAATTCTCATGCCTTGTTCTTATCATCATCATCATCATCATCATCATCATTGTGAGCTGTAATAACGGCGTACTCGTCTTACAGTGGTTGTAGCTGCCGAAGTTTCGTTCATCGATGATTTGGGGGAGGGGGAAGGTAGCTGCAGGCAGGAGATGATAAATTGGTGCATAAATCCAGCACTGTCAAGTGGGGGGATTGGGAAAGGAGCTATGCATTGAAGGCAATAGCTTGGATGCACGAGCGCGACTGGGCCATATCTGACAATGTCTCTAACCATTGATGTGGACCGTCTCGGGGTCCCCATGCAGGAAGGTGGCAGTGACCAGCGCAGCTGAGTTTGCTGGTAATGGCTTTTCACAGTTCGCTGCCAATTCATTGTTTGACCGCCTCTGGCTCTCTTCCAGAGCCAGAAACGGCTAAAAGAGCCGTTTCTAAACGGGATTCAGTCTGTATTGGACTGGTAACATGTTGCCACCAACTAATATTGCTGGACATGCTAGAAGGGGAACCCACTAGCATCGCAGAATAAACATTCCGTAGTCCCTTCTGGAATCGAAGTCCCTAGCTGGAGGGGAATCGAACTAATCCTCAGTTGTGTGTGATAACCCAGTGAGCCCTGATTGAAGTATTCTACCTCTTAAGAAATCCGGTAATTCCGTTTTCCATGTACTTCGTTCTCTGTCTGATACCGTTTCAAATGGATTCGAACGCCTACTACTTTCCGAAAACTCTCAGCGATTGATGCAGTTACTTGGAGACTCCGTCCATAGTTCTAAACTCAGCCTGTCGTTGGTTATTTCATTTTGATTTGGGTTTACTTAGTCATCTGACTTTTGTCACTTAAAGAACGTAATCTACAATAAATTGGTCGATGTAAATCCCATGATCAATGACTGTTAAAACACTGATCGACTGTCGTACTCTTGTAGTGAAACACCATCCCACAATATGAGGACTAGGCTTCACTTATTGATCGTGTGTGACAGTGAAATGAGCGTATCTTTTGGAAGCTAGATGAAACGGCCTATCTAAATGGTCATCAGTACTTCCCTTGGGAATAGAGCTTAGTTGATAACCTGTTTAAAGGTGAGATGTTTATATTGCGCCTGGACATGGTTAAACAGGATTTGTCTGCAAGAGACGTCTGTGCGGAGGTCAGACTTACATGGCATCTGGGGTCAGAATAATCCACTCTGCATTTACCGGTGCAATCCAAGAGTGCGCAAACCGAAACCAGAAAATAGCAATTGGTTAGTTCTTTGGCATGATTAATTTTCAACGACAACGTAACCATCCAATTAATAACCGTTAACAGTTTCACATTAACTCAGGACTGTCTCGTGACGTCTTCCCAACTCAACTAAACGACTTTCGTTTCACCTTTGAAGGGTGAAAATATCTTATCTCTCATGGTGTGATCCCATAAGGACCTGTGCTAACCAGTTGGATTACGAACCATACAATTTAGCCTTCTTCGTGTAATTAGTTTCACAATGCCATAAAGCGTCCCCAATGCTGATCCGAAAAGATATACAGGCCACCGTTGACCTCACTCTCCATGATATGTATCTTGATTTACCATATCACATGCCAGACGTGTACAGAAAGCCCACTTGGTAATGTGTTAGAATGTTGATACCTCGATTGCATCCATCATCATCATTGTGAGCTGTAATAACCGCGCAATCGTCGTACAGTGGTTGTAGCTGCTGCAGTTTCGTACACCGATGACTAGTGTGGGGTAGGTGGCTGCGCATTCCAGGCGGGAGATGATAAATTGGTGCATGAACCCAGCACTGTCAGTGGGCTGTCAAGTGGGGGGTTGGAAAAGGAGTTATGCATTGAAGGCAATAGCTTGAATGCACGAGCGCCATTGTGGGCGCGACTGGGCCACATCTGACAATATCTCTAGCCATTGATGTGGCCCGTTCGGGGTCCCCATGCAGGAAGGTGGTGGTGACCAGCGCAGCTGAGTTTGCTGGTAATGGCTTTCATAGTTCGCTGCCAAGTCATTGTTTGACGGCCTCTGGCTGTTGATCTGTTCGCAAATCAACTGCCAAGCTCGGCGAACAGATCAACAGCCACCTGATCATTACCACAGCCCGCTTTTCAAGCTTAGTAGGCAGTATTCGTAATGTTTATCTCAGGTAACCAATGGAGCCTAGCTTGGCTCCGGAACACCCAAGCTTACTGTAGTAGCTAAACAAAAAATAGTTGCCTTGTCGGATTTTGCTTATATTTTGCTATTTCTGAAAAATGTAGTCCCCATTGAGGAGTAACAGAAACAATTTCCGGACCACATTGGCTGGGTTAGCACTCACTCCATCGATTACTTTGTTAAGCTAGCTGGATCTAGACGAACTGGCCACTTTAGATGAAGAGAAATTCCCCTTTGGGGGATAAGTTGAGGGACCCTGCTATATATATACATATAT